CCTCAGTGCATCGTGTGCTAGCTAATCCCATAGGTAACTAGGCTTTCGTTACCCCAACCCCTAGTGCGGGATGGGGAGGGCAAGCTTGGACTTCTTCATTCACACCAGACTTCCTACCAGTGCTCCCTCTAAGCTGTGGAGTCTTGTGAGCAAAAATTGTGCTCTGTGAGCTACTGGCATGAAAGTTGTGAGCGAGCGATTCGGCTACTGCATAAATTAGTTGGCCCTGGAGTCATCCTTCCTGAGCGAAGACAGAAATTTGTGAGCTGGAGGCTGAAAACCTGTGAGCTAGCTCACACTAACTCAGCTTAGAGGGAACACTGCTTCCTACCCCTCGGTAGCTTGGAGCACAAAGGACTGGATGCCAGCGGAGGGCCTGTTCGGTGTGCTTCCTGTCAACCCCGACCGCTGCTTTAATAGCAATGTTGAAATGACGAGTGAAATTTCACAAAAAATCAATTGGCGGATAAATGCTTTAATATACTTTGGGGGGTGGGAGGGAGAGTCGCAGGCCCGTTTTTGAGGGGATCGATTTTTCCTCCCCTGCTACGATCCATGAACTCCGTAATCCGAGCCCTCTTCTTCAGCGGCAGTGCTCTGTGCAGCGCTTGTCTGCGAATACAAGAACACAGCCCTGGCCAGCTGCCGACCCTCCTGTTGCTGAGGAGGTCGGTGCTTCTATTTGCCGGAGACAATTGAGGCCGCTTGATTGAAGGGGAGAGTGAGATCAAGAGGTTGAGAGAAAGGGCAGGTAAAGTTGAGAGACCCGAATTGCCTTTTTTGGCTGAACGACCCTGCAGGGTGCAGAAAAGGGGATGCTGATTGCAATTGCAGGTGAACAAACCAAGCTGTTCTGTTCTGACCCAGTACTGTACATGGTTCTGTCCATTCTTTTATCCTCACAACAGAACTTTCAGGGAGGTTAGAGGGTGAGAAAACGACTGCCCCAAGGTTATCTGGGGAACATCGTGGAAGAGTCAGGGATTTGAACCTGGGTCATCCTTGTCCTGGTCCAGCACTCTAACTGCTACACCACACTGGCTCTCCTGTGATTGGCAGGAGCTCTCCAGGGGCATGGGCAGAGAAAGCCCAGTGGCACCTGTAAGACCATCAAAGTCTAATTCTGGGTATAGGCTTTCATGTGCATGCACACTTCTTCAGATACCTTGAGTCCAGTGGCACCTTTAAGACCAACAAAGTCTAATTCTGGGGATAAGCTTTCATGTCCATTCTGAAGAAGTGTGCATGCCCATGAAAGCTTATACCCAGATTTAGACTTTGTGGGCCTTAAAGGAGCCACTGGACTCAAACTTTGTCCTGCTGGTTCAGACCAACACGGCTGCCCACCTGAATCTATTGACCACCTGCTAGAGGGAGTGAACAAACATGTGCACAAGGGGGACCCAATAGATGTTGTTTACCTTGACTTCCAGAAAGCTTTTGATAAAGTTCCTCATCAAAGGCTCCTAAGTAAGCTCAATAGTCATGGGGTAAAAGGACAAGTCCTTTTGTTGATCAAAAACTGGCTAATTAATAGGAAACAGAGAGTGAGTATAAATGGGAAATTTTCTCAGTGGAGGGTGGTAAGCAGTGGAGTACCACAGGGCTCAGTACTGGGTCCGATGCTTTTTAACGTTTATTAATGATTTGGAATTGGGAGTAAGCAGTGAAATGGCTAAATTTTCAGATGACATGAAGTTGTTCAGGGTGATGAGAACCAGGGAGGATTGTGAGGCACTCCAAAGGGATCTGTCGTGGATGGGCGAGTGGGCGTCAACTTGGCAAATGGGGTTCAATGTGGCCAAGTGCAAAGTTATGCACATTGGAGCCAAAAATCCTAAATATAAATACACGTTGATGGGGTCTGAACTGGCAGAGACTGATCAAGAGAGAGATCTTGGAGTTGTAGTAGATAACTCACTGAAAATGTCGAGACAGTGTGTGACTGCAATAAAGAAGGCCAATGCTATGCTGGGGATTATTAGGAAGGGTATTGAAAACAGATCAGCCAATATAATAATGCCCCTATATAAATCAATGGTGAGACCTCATTTGGAATACTGTGTGCAATTCTGGTCACCACACCTTAAAAAGGATATTATAGCTTTGGAAAAAGTGCAGAAAAGGGCAACTCAAAAGATAAAAGGGTTGGAACACTTTCCCTATGAGGAAAGGTTAAAGCACTTAGGGCTCTTTAGCTTGGAGAAACGACAACTGAGGGGCCCAAAGAGTGATTAACACATGGAATTCACTGCCACAGGAGGTGGTGGTGGTGGCTACAAGTATGGACAGTTTCAAGAGGGAGTTAGATAAACATATGGAGCAGAGGTCCATCAGTGGCTATTATCCACAAGGTATAGATAGGCAAGAGATGCTCTGTATTCTTGGTGTTTGAGGGGTGGGGAAACAGTGGGAGGGCTTCTAGTGTCCTGGCCCCACTTGTGGACCTCCTGATGGCACCTGGTATTTTTGGCCACTGTGTGACACAGAATGTTGAACTGGATGGGCCATTGGCCTGATCCAACATTGGCTTCTCTTATGTTCTTATTTTAACTGGAGAAGTGTGTGTGTGTGTGTGTGTGTGTGTGTGTGAAACTGGGACCTTCTGCATGCAAAGCAGGTGTCCCATCACTGGGCCCTGGTTCCTGTCCAGTGACTAGTGAAGCTGCCTGATACTGAGTCAGACCACTGGTTCATCTAGGCCAAGTATGAGCAACTTGCTGGGGTCTCGAGCAAAGCTAGATCTCTTCCTCAGCACTGGCTCTGCAAGGGCCATTGAACTGGAGATGCTGGGAATCAAGACACCACACTGGTGGTCAGGAGCAGGGAGACCTTCCCTTGCCTGTGTTGCTCTTCCCACACAACTCTTCCTCCCCTCTAGGAGGAGCAGGTGGCTGCCGTTGGCCGGGAGTGCCTTTAACCAGCTTCTATTGGTGAGCCGGCTGCAGCCTTTCCTGGGCAGAAAAGATCTGGCCGCTGAGGTGCATGTTCTGGTTACAGCTAAATCAGAACACTGCAACGTGCTCTACGTGGGGCTGCCCTTGAAAAGTGATCGGAAACTTCACCTGGTGCTGAGTGCTGCAGCCAGGATGTTGACTGGAGTGGATCATAGGGGCCGTATCACTCCAGTCTTGGCTCACCTACATTGGATCCCAATCTGTTTCAGAGGTTATTCAAGCTGCTGGTGTTGACCTGTGGTTTGGGACGAGCATTCCTGAAGGCCCACCAACTCCCTTACAAATGTACCCGGCCGCTATGGTCATGCGAGTCTTGGGTGCTCCTGCCTTCTGAGACTAGGCAGGTGGCCACCCAGGAGAGCACCTTCTCAAGTCATGGCACTGAAACTCGGGAACTCTCTCCCCAGAGGAACCTGCTTGTCTCCTTCTGTTGCCATCTTTCGCCAGCAAGGAACGACTTTAAAAAAAAAATCATCTCTGGTGTTTGCTCAGGGTTTTCAACCGCTTGTATACATGTGTATTTCATTGTGTTGTTTGTCTATTTTAACTTGGTTTTCATTCTTTGAATGATGTGTTTTTGATTGGCTTTAATTGTCTTTAAGATGTGTTCCTATGATCTCCGTTGATCATCTGTTTGCCGCCTTGGTGGTCCTGACGAGGGCAGGAAGTCGGGATCAGTGTTCCCTCTAAGCTGAGTTAGTGGGAGCTAGTTCACAGTTTTATAGCCTCTGGCTCACACATTTTTGTCTTCGCTCAGGAAGGATGGCTCCAGAGCAAACAAATTTATGCAGTAGCCAGATCGCTCGCTCACAACTTTCATGCCAGTAGCTCACAAAGTAGAATTTTTGCTCACAAGACTCCACAACTTAGAGGGAGCCTTGCAGTCTAGGGACATGGAGAACAGCTCTGAAAGAACTTGTGACTGACCCAAGGCCACCCAGCTGGCTTCATGTGGAGGAGTGGGGAATCAGACCTGGTTCTCCCAGATTAGAGTCCACGTTCCTAACCACTACACCAAACTGGCTCTAAGTAGTCCCAGAGTTCCCCATACATGGAACCAGTGTTCCCTCTAAGCTGAGTTAGTGTGAGCTAGCTCACAGTTTTATGGCCTCTGGCTCACACATTTTTGTCTTCGCTCAGGAAGGATGGCTCCAGAGAAAACGAATATATGCAGTAGCCAAATCGCTCGCTCACAACTTTCATGCCAGTAGCTCACAAAGTAGAATTTTTGCTCACAGGACTCCACAGCTTGGAGGAAACTTTGGTCGGGATATACATTTCATAAATAATAAATAATCGTCATTGTTGTTATTTTCCTCCTGGGTTGCGGGTTGTACTGCCAATCCTGAAACCCCTGGGATGAAACCATTTGGGGAGGGTGGGTGGGTGGGGTGGGCTGGAGGCGAGCACAGGCAAGAGACGGGCTCAAGCCCCCTCTGCCCCCCCTGCTCTGCTTAGAGTCTTCCAGTTTTATATGAGAGCTGATTCTAGAACACAGGTCCTGTTTGGTTTGGCCCAGAGAGTTTGGCAAACCGCAGGGAGAAGCTCCCAAACGTCTCGCAGGGCGTGGGAGTCATCCCTGTCATGCTGAGCCTTAGAGAAGCTCAGACAGCAGCCAAACGTCTTTACATTCTGAGCTGGCAATGATCAGTTTGAGGCCGGGGACATCCGGCTGGCCCCAAGGCCACTCACTGAGTTTCCACGGCCCAGTAGGGGTCTGAACCTAGGTCTCCCCTGCTCAGGATGGCCCCGGGCTACCCTGATCCGGGAAGCTAAGTAGGGTTGACCCTGGTGAGTGCTTGGACGGGAGACCGGCAAGGAAGTCCAGGGTTGCAGCACAGAGGCGAGCAATGGCCGACCACCTCCGTTCGTCTCTTGCCTCGAGAACCCCACGAGGGGTCGCCATGCGTTGGCTGCAACTGGACGGCATTTCCCGCCACCACTCCCGATCTGGATCTCTAGCCTGTCGCTCTAGCCGCTGCGCCACGCTGTCTGAGGATTTGTTTCAAGCCGTTTCCCTCCTTTCTCTCTCCCTGTCTCCAGCGTCGACCTTGTCCATGCCCAGATCCATATCTCCGAGGGGAAGAGCCTGCCCGAGCTGGGCCTCAAGCAGGACAATGTGCGGATCAACGGCTGTGCCATACAATGTCGGGTCACCACTGAGGACCCTTCTCGCGGGTTCCAGCCTGACACAGGCCGAATCGAGGTAAGGCGGGCTACCCGTTTTCCTCTCCAGATTCTTTGGCTTCCAGAGCATTTCCCCCCTGCTGCCGCAGTTTCATAGACCTGTGGGGATGTTGCTGACGGCTGCCCTGTTCGTTCCACGTGGCATTCTGGCTTGGGGTTTTGTGGGGTATTGAGCCATGCACGTCTATCGTGCTCTGATGTGTCCGAGAGCTTATTTGTTTAATTTCAGTGACGCCGTTCACAGAAATAACTTGATCCAAGTTTATTTCCAATGTTTTTTTTTAAACAAAACGAGGTATATTGACCGTGGGAGAAATCGCATCAAGGCGACCATGTCAGTTGCAGTAAGCATAAATCAAAAAGATACTCGCCGGACAGACCACGTTCGGAATCTTGATATCATTCACAAAGGGCGACCAAACTAATAGAAGTCACTGAAGTTGCTCACCCTCTGCCAACTTTGCTCGGATGAGTTAGCTTCTCTTCCACCAGCATATGGATTTGGAGGACCCTGAGCAGCATGGATGGGGGTATGCTAGAGGAAAGCAATTTCCCCAGCGCTCTACTCTCACCGCAGTCTTCCGTGCCCCCTGAAATTGTTCTCCTACGGGTCAGTGGATCCGCAGGAACACTGTGGAGAGCAAATTGGGAGTCTGCAGCCAAAGGGCAGAATCACCACAGATGGGAAAGCTGTTCCATCGGTGCCAGCCAATATGATTTGATACGATATCCATATCGTGCTCTAGCCGGTATAAATGCTGCAGAACCGAATCTTTTCGCTTGGTCAGTGCATTGGTCTGCTGACCCTTATAGGGAATGGCTTCCTGTTTTCCTTTCTCTGTCTGTTGCTCATTTGGCCACCATTGGAAGATATCGAGCCTTTTTATCAACAATATTGAACAGCTGCGGGTCTGTGTTGGAATATTGTATTGCAGTCGAATTTTGTGCCAGCACGGAGTGCGGCTGAAATTCTCGGTGCTGCAGGGCTGCCAGCCGAAAAACACCGACCCGGCGTCGTCTCTTTTCTCTTCCCAACCCTGTGCCCCTCTCCTCATTTAACATCCAGGAAATTAGATCAGAGGACTGCAACACAGATTAGATGGCTGCAAAGTGTTCTACGTGGGGCTGTCCTTTTGAAAGCTGTTTGGAAACTTTGGTTTGTTAAGTGTGGTTGTTGACAGTGGTTTGCTGAACATGTTTTAATAGTGTTTTTTTAAAAAGTTCTTTCATTGGTTTCCAGGAGCCCCAAAGTGCTGGTTTCAACCTATATAGCTCCAGATGGGGTGGGAGTGGTACACACCTGAACCTGCTCCATCCTGAATCAGATTCTTGGTCCATCAAAATTAGTATTGTCTACTCAGACTGGTAGGGGTCGCAGTGGCTCAGTGGTTAAGACGCTTAGCTGCAGACTGGAAGGTCAGTAGCTCGGCAGTTCGAGACCCGAATGCCGCATGACGGAGTGAGCGCCTGTCTCTGGTCCCAGCTCCTGCCAACCTAGCAGTTCGAAAGCAAGAAATTGCAAGTAGATAAATAGGTACTGCTTCGGTGGGAAGGTAACAGCGTTCCGTGCACTTCGGCATCTAGTCATGCCAGCCACATGACCACAGAAATGTCTTCAAACAGCACTGGCTCTTTGGCTTGGAATCGGAGATGAGCACGGCCCCCCCAGAGTCGGATTCGACTGGCTTTCAAGCAAGGGAAACTTTTACCCTTACTTACTCAGACTGGCAGTGGCTCTCCAAGGTCTCAGGCAGAGAAAGGTCTTCCGCATCGCCTAGTACCTCATCCTTGCAAGTGGAGATGCTGGAATTAAATGTGGGATCTTCTGCACCAGTGAGCCACAGCCCCTCCCCTAAGGTATAGGTATACCATAAGGCATACCTAAAGGATCTGCTAGTGCTTTTGAGGTCCTGATGGAGGGTGAGCTGCCTTTGGAAGTCAGGTGGGTGATTATTGGAGAAAGGGCCTTTTTCAGGGTGGAGCCCCGGTTGCAGGATTCACTCCCTGAAGGCACTTGCCTGGCACCAGACTTATCAAGTTATTTGGTGCCAAGTTCCGACTGTTCTCCGCAGTGTTTACACCAGCATTCCTTCTTCCCCCACCCCAGTGCTTTTCCTGTAGTTATCTTCATTTTATTGAGGCGTTCATGCTATTTATATAGTTTGTTTTTATAGCTGACAATCTTGTGTGTTGTTCCCCCCACCACCCTTTTTGCAAACTGCCTGGAAGACTTTCCAAGTGGAGAAGCGTGACAGATGTTATTGCCTAAATATTAAACAAAAACATGAGTCGTGACCGTGTCAGCACATTGGGAGTTTCCCCGCCTCCTTCTCGGTTTCACTGCCTGCTGTTTGCAGGGGAAGGCGGCAGGGGGGGAAGCTTTCCGGCATTTTGGTTCCTTAACATATTGGCAGAACATCTTAGCCCACCTTTCTCCCATCTAGGGACTCAGGGCAAGCTACAGTGACAGTTAAAAATCTGTCTGATGTAGCAGAGAATCATCAGCAGATCAGCTACAAGTTGCTATTGGCAGGCAGGGGGAGGGAGGCGAGACACCGGGCTGCCATTTTCAGCGGCAGCCCCGCGTGCTTCCTTATCTGTCTACTTTCGGACCTGGCACTGGATATTCAGAGATGTGTATGTTAATATCATTACCTCTGTGTTGCAGACGGGAGGTGGGCTGAGAGATAATGGTTTGATGTGGACTTGTGGTCGAGGCAGAGGGGGTTAAGCCCAGATCACATTTTACACCATCTGCATCCAGTGCACCAAGGTGTCTGGACGCCTCCTAAGAAAGCCGAACTGCGTATCTCAATAATAACACTTGCTCGTCGTCTCCCAGGGAACCTTGCCAGGGGGGTGGGGGGGGAAGCATTTGGAGCCAAAAGAGAAACAGCCTCTCCAAATTTAACAGCAGCAACCCAATGGCTCAGAGGGTTCAAAGCCACGGAAACTATTCCAGCCCCTCCCTCCTTCCGGGGATCCTTCCCAACTCATTAGCAGAGGCAGCCTCAGAAGCAAAGAGTTAGATCGAAACTTCATTCACGTGTTGCCAAAAAAACAAAAGGAGGAAGAGGAGAAGGGGAGAGGAAGACTGCAAACTTGCCTCCATATCAAGATCCCCCCCTCCCTTGAATTATTGTCGTTTAATGTGCTCAGAGGTGGAAGAGGGGGGGGACACACCCCTCTTCAAGCACTCCTGTCTGTCGAGAGTGCCTAGAATATGCCATAAGTTTTCCTCCTACAGCACCCCTGTGGCACTTGAGATGCTTAGAGTGAAGCCGTTCAAACGTTTTGAAAATGGGAAAACGGTAAAGGGGGAGGGGAGGGAGGATGTTGAGGGGCACCGAGAAGAGACTCCTGTAAAGGCACCCGGGGGAATCCGAGAGGCTGGATTTGTTTTTTAAAGAGTGGGAAGGAGGAGCAGAGCCTGGGATCTGGAGCATGGTTGTATGCGGATCTGTGTTTTGTGTTGGCCTGTCGGGTCTTTGCAACATAAAGTTGACCAGGTTTTGACACATCCTTAGATTGACATAAGGATATAAGATCTGCTGGTTTAGACCGTCCATCTGTCTAGTATGGAATCTTGTTTCACACAGTGCCCAACCAGTTTGCCTTGCAGGGCCAACAAACCAGACATAGAACCCCACACTTTAATTATTTGACCAGGGGTGTGGGGAGAGAAGTACTTCCTTGACTAGACATGTTGCTGAGGTTTGCAGTTACCCTGTTCGGAATCTGAATGCGTCTTGTTTTGGCCATGCTACTTCTGGGTCCGGGGTCTCTGGAGAACTGCCTGCCCCCCATGCGAACAGCTCAGATCTCTGTGTGCCCTGATATCAAGAGGCAGAGGTCGATTCGGGGGGATTGTGGGGGATCGCCGTTCCCCCGGGTGAGGTGCGGGGGCGGGGCACACGACGAAGCCCCGCCCCTGCTTCCAGCCACCCCGCTTCCGGCCCTCATTCAGCTAGGAGGAGGCAGGAGAAGAGGGAGGGTAAGTTGCTTCCTCCCTGCCTCTCGCCACCCCTGCCTGCCTGGGGCCAGGGAGGGCCTTGGCGGGGCTTCCTCACACTCCCGCCAGCCTTGCAGGTCCACCGCCGGGTCCCTGATGGGTGGTGCGGCCTTATGACACACTTCCGGTGATGTCAGGGGGTGTGGCATATGCTAATGAGTTATGCTAATGAGTTCCCCTAGCTCTTTTTCTATGAAACGACCCCTGGCAAGAGGTATACGAATACCCAGGGGTTGGGGCCTTCTTTGTAGTGGCACCTTGCCTCTAGAGCAGCTCCCTCCCTAGACGTGGTTTCCTGGCACAGAGTTTCTTGAGTTTTAGCTTCCAGATGAAGGCGCTCTTCTTTCTATTCTGTTGCTGTGACTTGCTTTTAGTATTTTTTTCTTTCTGTGTTTCCTGCTCTGGGTATGTCTAATCACTGCTCTTTTAAAAAATTAGGACTGCTTATTTTACCCCCGTAGCTGCTTATACTGGTATGTTCTGGCTGCCAATTTGCGTGTTTTTATTTTACTGCGGTTCGGTATTTCACTGTTGTGTTTTCTTGGTTTTTATTGCCGTAAGACACCCTGTGGACCTCCAGTTGAGAATGTACGAGGGAAACAAATGACTGAAATAAAAACATAAAATCTCTAGCTCGGAATGTGGAATGCTGCACTGGCCACTCCGGTCACACTACTTTGTAGGCGCACAACAAAAAAAAGAGCGATGGTAGATCGTTTGGGCCAATGGTGCTTTCCTCTGGTCCAAGCGGGAATGGCTCCTTGCTTTGGAGGAAAGCGCCACTGGGGCAGAAGAGGCCCCTGGGATCCTCCCACCCAGTGTGTTTGTCGAACCACTAAGCCCCACGCGCACACTTTCTCCCAGCCGGAAACTGTTTCTGTAGGCGAATTCCATCACTCGAGCCCCCACCTGAAGCCGAGACGCCCCTGATGCTGGACTGACTGCATCAACCACTGCTTGCGAGAATCCGGTCGCAGCTCCGTTTCATCAGTGCTGTTGTGAGAAGT